GTTCTGTTTGGAATATTTGGTAATTACGTTGCAAGTATGAGTCATTCACGTTCCACTAGAAGGGCTTGTCCCTACTGATAGCTTGGAGACGTCTGAATACTTGCTGTTGTACTGATTGATTTTAGTTACAAGAATGTGAGAGAGTATTATAAAGCATGAAAAAAGCACCAAGTACTACTTTTTTGTTTAGAAGGCTGATCCCTAAATATAGCTTAAATTGTTTGGATATTGCTTTTGTAACGATTTCTTTTTGTGGGTATTATTTACATCCTTCATTTGCGCATGTATAATTACTCTTGCACACATTTTCACCTGTGTGAGTTCTGAATAAGGAGTATCATGGTTTCCACGGAAGACTTATCTGTAATGTTAGGTGTATATTTCTGAGTATTTGCCTCTTGTACGGATTTCTCTCTGTAATAACATTTATATCAGTTTAATGTCTTTTTGAACAAAGTTCTGTTCGGAATATTTTGATGACTATGTTGCAAGTATGAATGATGATGCCTAATTCTAAATCATTCGCGGTTTCCACTAGAAGGGCTTATCCCTAATGATAGCTTGGATGCGTCTGACTACTTGCCTTTTGTAGTGATTTTATTTAATTTACAAGAATTATCTTCGTATGGACAATTTACTGTATTAGTTTGTGGTACCTTTCTCAAAAAAGAGCATTATTTAAGTATAAATAAAAACACCTTATCTCCAACTTTTTTTATTTTTTACTAGAAGGCATATTTGTGAAGGTAATTTGCATATGTACTTTCCTTTTATAACATTTTATTGATTATATGTTTTTAGTAAGTTGTTCGAATGAGTATACGAGAAGTTTGAAATATGACGCGTATTATAAATCATTTGCGGTCTTCCCTGGAAGGTCTTATCCCTAATGCTAGCTTGGATTTGTGTCATGACATGCCATTTCTACTGATTTGATTTTTATTACAATAAATGTTTTTCATGAAGAATCAACTGTGTTGCCAGAGAGCATTGCTCAAGTATGAATTAAAAACACTAAGTATTTTTTTTTGGAGTGCTTATTCGTAAACATACCTTATATATGTTTAAATATTTGGCTTTGTATTATTATTATTATTGTTATTATTATTATTATTATTAGTATTATTATTGTGTGTGATGTTAACATCCTCTTGATTTGTGCATGTGTGATTGCTCTTGTTCCCATTATACATGTGGGATTTCTGAAAAGGGAGCATCATGGTTTCCATGGAAGCCATGTCTGTAATAATAGGTTGTGTTTTTCTGGGTATTTGCCTCTTGTCCTGATTTCTTTTCGTCTGTAATAACATATTTATCAATTCTGTTCGTAATATTTTGATCAGTACTTGGAAGTATGAATGATGACACCTAGTCTAAATCATTCACGGTTTCCACTAGAAGGGCTTGTCCTTAATGATAGCTTGGATGCGTCTGACTACTTGCCATTTTTACTGATTTGATTATAGTTACAATAATAGTGTTCGGATGAAGAATTTACTGTATTAGTTTTGAGTAAGTTTGATGGGAAAGAGTATTATGCACATAATGTCCATCTTTTTTAGTTTTACTGCAAGGCTTATCCCTGACGATAGTTTGGATGTGTTTGAGTAGTTTCTTTTTTTAACAATTTATTTTTGTGATGAGGTTAGTGTTTTTTTTACTGTGTAGTAGGTATGAGTATGCAAAACATCTAACTCATGATACCAAATCTAAATCATGTGTGACTTTCCGTGGAAGGGCTTGTCCCTAATGTTAGCTTAGATGTGTCTGCCTACTTGCCCTTTGTACTGATTTAGACTCTGACATATAAATTTTTTCGCATGAAGAATTTCCTGTGTTGCAAGTGAGCATTATTAAAGTGTGAATAAAAACACTTAACCTGAGTATTTTTTTGTGGAGGGAGGGTTTTTTCCTAAACGTACCTTATATATGTTTGGATATTTGACTTTTGTAACTTGTGGGTGAGGTGATCTTCTTGATTTGTGCATGTGTGATTGCTCTTGTACCCATTGTACATGTGGGATTTCTGAAAAGGGAGCAGCATCATGGTGTCCACGGAACATGTCTCTAATGATAGGTTGTATATTTCTGGGTATTTGCCTCTTGTGCTAATTTCACTTTGTGTATAAGATTTTAATCATTTATACCAGTCTTATTGAGCAAAATTGTTATTGAATAAAGTTCGTTCAAATATTTTGATGAGTACGTTGCAAGTATGAATGCCGACACCTAATCTAAATCATTCGCAGTTTCCACTAGAACGGCTTGTCCCTAATGATAGCTTGGATGCGTCTGACTGCTTGCCATTTGTAATGTATTGATTATAGTTACAAGAACTGTGTTCGCATGAAGAATTTACTGTATTAGTTTTCAGTAGATGTGTTGGGTAAGAGTATGTAAGTATAAATAAAAACACCTAATGTCCATGTTTTTTAATTTTTACTATCCATGAACACAGTTTCGATATGTTTGCGGTCTTTCCTTTTCTGACATCTTGTTGTCCTCTGTTACTGTTTTATTCGGTTGTTTCGATGAGTATGCTAGGAGTATGAATCATGACTCCCAATCTAAATGATTCACGGGGCCCACCAGCGGCCAAGCGGTAAAGTCGCTGAACACTGGTAGTTCGGTCCGAGGTTCGAATCCCGCGAACGGGCTGGCTGCATGGGTGTTTTCGTGGTTTTCCCCATGTGTAACGTGTATACGAGCCAGTTTCCCTTAGAAAGTCCTCCACGAAAGGCATCCCTCCCCTTAGGCAGATAGCCCTAGTGTGCTTTGCCGTAAATACATCACACACACACACTAAATGATTCACGGTTTTCCATGGAAGGTCTTGTCCCTAATGTTAGCTTGGATATATCTTATCGCTTGGTGTTTGCACTGATTTGATTTACTTTATAGTATTTTTTTGTGCATGGAGAATTAAGTGTTAGTTTGCAATATCTGTGTTGCAAGAGAGTATTACTCGTACACAAGTACGAATAAAAACGCTTATCCCTAAATAAAGGTTAAATATGTTTGGATACTTGGCATACTGATTTGATTTTAGTTACAATAATTGTTTTCTGTTTGCAGAACTAATGGTGTTAGTTCGCAGTATGTGTGTCATTATGAAATATGAATACAACTATCTAATCCAAGTATTTTCCCTGTTATTACTAGATGGCATATCTTTAAATGTAGCTTTAATATGTATGAATTCTTTGATTTTGTGTTGATATTTTTTTCTTGTGAAGACTTTCATATCTTGTTTTGTGTACTATCTTACTCTGTATTTTGGATGATTATGCAACAAGTAAGAATGACGATGTTTGATCTAAATCATTTGCAGTTGCCACGAGAATATCTTGTGCCTAATGCAACCTCGAATGCATCTGAATACTTCCCTTTTTGTATTTTTGTTTAGAATAAATGTCATATTACTTGTCATATCTTGTTCCTAATGGTAGCTTGGATGCATCTCAACACCAACCATCCGTACCCCTTTGTTTTGGGTTATATATTTTATAACATTGTCAGGTTTTGAGATAATAGGCAAGTCATTATATTATAGAAAGTAATATTAGTAACATATGTTTTGCGTGTTATTATGGTTGCTGTATCTGATGTGCAATTTTTTTGGCTAGTTCAATTCTGTAATTGAAATCATATGCTTAATTCTGTCAAATCAAATACTGCCTATTCCTATATTTCATTTTCATGAAACCTTGTTTCTGAAGGAGTGCTAAGTAAATTTTTATAAAAGCTATCTTAGAATTAATGCCAATTTCAGTGTTTTCCCTCTTGGATTTATGGAGAAGACTTTTTGTTGCATTACTCAGAATAATTCTTCTGGTTAACGTTTGGTAAATTAAGTTTGTTTTGTTTTTCACTTGAAAGTTTTGCTCTAATAGTAGTTAGAGGTATCTGAATAGTGGCCAGTAATGTGTTTCTTTTGGTTCTTGGTACCTGCATATTATAAACATGGTTTGTTGCTATTAATGAATTTTTTGTTTTAGATATCCTAAAATTTTTGTATGTGCTAAATATTTTTCAAAGAACTAAATTTTTTGGTGTTTTTGTCATTAAGTATATATGTCTGATGCATGTCGCTGTACTGCTTTTGCCGTCATTGGCAATGACACTTCAGGTACATGCTAAATAAATCAGAAAGATAAATTAGCTGCTTTTATTTTATGTAAAAGTTGGCCAGTCACCTGTCTGACATTTTCTTTTATGATAAAAGAAATATTAAATGTTTCTAGATACATTACTTTGTTATCTAATGGGGGCATGAAATTTATATATAAATTAAAAGAATAAATAGGCTGCTTTTAGTTTATGCCAAAATCAGCTACTTAATATGTGTGAAAGTATTCATGTGCTGATAATAGATAATATAATAAGTAAAACAATTATTTTGATATATTTAGGCATGTTGCTCTGCTGTTATTGTCATTCAGGGCAGTAACACTTTACAGACATGCTAAATTATTAAGGAGGATAATTAGCAGCTTTTAATTTTCATAAAAACTGTTCATCACCTGCCATACAGTTCTGTATTAAAAATGAGTCTTATTACTCTATTTTTCTGCTGTAATTTGCCAGCTCAGTACAGTTGTTTAAATTCAGAAATTGCTCAAGATTGTTTTGCTGGAAAAATTATTTGAATCAATTACTTTAGTATTGATTTTTGGCTTAGTTTTTAATATTTTTTTAAGGAAATTAGTTCTTTACCTTTGGGAAATTTATTAATAAAATTCTTAACAAATACATGCAAATTAATATTTTTATGTTTAAATATTTAAGTTACATTCTTCATCGAGCTGTTTTTATAATTCCAATAAAATTATATTTTTTGATTGTAAAAATAAATTTTAATTATATTAATTATTTATTATATTTTAATTAAATATAATATTTTAAATTTGCTTTATGTGGCAGTTAATTTGGATAATCGTACATAAACTTTAAGAAACTTTCAGTTATTTTCTTTCTAATTTTTCATTTTGTCTTTATAGGTTGAACTTTTTAAAAACTTAGACCCCTTTTTCCGGAATAAAGTAAGTATTGAATTTAAATGCACACCGCATTAAATTATTTATAGAGCAAAACAAAACTTGCCCAGGATGTGATGGGGTTGAGAGAAACACACCGTTATTGTAAAATTTAATTAGAAAATTGCAATTAAAAAATCTAAATGGTCGCAGATTTTTAATTACATCCAAAGGGGCATTTTTTAACATTTTGTGTGTTACTTTATTTATTAAATAGCACGTTCTTTGCACTTAAACCATAAAATTCAGTTCAAGAGCTATAACACAAAATAATTTTAAATTGAGCGCATCTTTAGAATTTTCGATACGCAGTCTCTGGCCTAGAAAAAGTCTTTTTTTTTTTTTTTTTTTTTTGGGGGGGGGGGTGTGTACAACATTGCTATTACTAGTATTTAGTACTCATTGTTAGAAATTGTGATTTTTTCAATTTATGTAATATTCTATAGTATTTTTTAAATAAAATTTGCTTTACATTTAATTTATGAATATTTTTTAAATTTTAAACTCCCATATTTAGGCTCTTTTTACTCATTTTTTCAGCCGATAATTATCGCTGCTAATAAAAGTGATATTATAAAGATGGATGAATTACCAGGTGATAAAAGGGTAGGTATGAAGATCATGCTTTATATATTGAATGCTTTTGAAAAATATGCTTTATGTATTTGCCATTAACTTATATAGCAGGTATTTTGAAACTGGCTCAAGAACTACATTCAGCTGTTGGCCTTTCAAGTGTGACTCGTTTCTTACCAAAACTAAATTATTATTTATATGTAAAACTCCTGCTGGTTTGTTATTTTATTTTAAACATATGTAAAATGAGATATCTGCAGGGTTATTTGGCATCTGAACAGTTTTAGAGTTAAAAGATTCCAAATTTGTAAATGACTGCATTAGTCTGCGCTCAAATAAAATGCTTCTCCCCTTTCTTTTTGTGTTTACACTATTAAAATTAGTTAATAAATATAAACAGAAGGAACATTTTGGAAATATCACGCAAAGGTTTAAAGTTTGTGTTTCATAGCCCATTCTGTAGTGTTTATTTTTTGCTTTTAGTGCTTCCCCCCTCCCCCCAGTACCAAAGCCGGAACTAAATGAACAATTTTTCTTCCTTATATATGGAATGTCAGATGGTAATCATACTCCCGAAAATAGCTTTTCACCCCTTTCTTTGCAAAAAGATGTTTCTACATCTTGACACTCCAATAAAATAAGATCTTCATAGCATAACCTTTGGTGCACGCGAGTACAGACGGGTGCATGTCGTTCTATTGGTCAAAGAATTGTGAAACTGGTAGAAAATTCCAGTACATTGCATATTCTTTTGCTCCTACCGAATACTACTTACATTCTCTTTCTGCATGGGTTGTGTTATGAGATTATGTATGAATAATATTTTGAGAATATGTATGAATATTTATAATTTATTTGCAGTAACTGCTGAAATATAGATAACACTTAAAAAAATGGGTGTGTTTTAACACAGATTAGTTTTCCATGCCTGCCAACTTTTACGAATTTTTCGTAATTATTTACGAAAGATGCGTTTGTCTTTATGATTTTACGATCGTAATCCATTTTTTACGATTTTTTTCCTTTTTCAAGTGTTTTTAGTGATTTTTGTCGAAATTTTAGGATTTTTCGCCAATTCAGCGATTTTCGCCAATTGCATCAGGTTTTACCGCCAACTACCAACTACTTCGAATCCAGTAGCTTGCAGTTGCAGTTTCTCCCAACTCGCCGTTTAACCAGCCAATCCAACGCACTGAACTTTTTTCCCCACTCTTTTCTTTGTGGGCGGCAGATTATTTTTTTCGCGTTTGCTTCACCAGTCAAGGCAATTACTGAGCTCGGACTCAGCGAGCATGGATTGTCGAATTCTGTTTGCTACGAATTTTCTTTAATACCTCGTTGTTACAAATGATAAAAAAAACTGTTCAATATTTTCGGCCTGCCTACAAACCGTATTCCAACTTAATATTTTCAGAAATAACTGCATTTGCAACGTGTGCGTGTGTGACTTCATAATAAGTCACGGTGGAAGAAGACATTGCCATCTGTGAAGCATGTTAAGTCTAATGCTTCGACAACGTCTAACTAAGCATCGACAACGTCAAAGAAAGTGGATTTTTTTCTTCAGATTCGGCTACGAATTCGGATGCCGGTGTCATTTTGGCAGAATTTTTGTTTACACGGTTTGAAGACTTTGCCAGTTCTGGAGAAGATAGACTTGTCCTCGTTGGTACCTTAAAAAGAATAAAAAGAGCTGGTGGAACACCAAAATATGATAGACTGGCAAGAGTTTTATGTGCTATTCTTGTAATTCCACACAGTAATGCTGAGTGCGAGAGAGTTCATGGTTGTGAAGAAAAACAAAAGTATGTTTCGTTCTTCAATTTCACCAAAAACTCTAGAAAAAATTTTAAGTGCTAAATGTTATGAGGAAACTAATTGTTATGACAGGAAATTTTCCAAAGAATTTTTGGCTAAGGCCAAAAAATTCATTGCAATATTTTTTTTTTTTTTTTTTTTTGTAACATTAAGTTCTTGTTTTATGTTTCCTAATAAATTTTTTAGTTACTACTTAATTGAAATTTACTAATGTAAGTACAATTTTCTTTTTTCTATTTGTATAAATTGTTATTTTTTTAATATCGAAGCATGATATTAATTCTTTGTGTTCTTTAGAATTTTGACGAAATCTTCTGAATTTTTATCTTTAGAGGTTGGCAGGTATGGTTTTCTAAGGAATAATATTCAAAAGGGCATAAATAAAGTTGGGGGTTCTCTTTCTACTCAAAATCTTCTCGAATGTTGAAACCATTACAGTTTGCTGCAAAGCAAGCAGCAGACTCTTTTTTGGGGGGGGTCACTTTTCATTCTGGATTGAATAAAAGTTCTGTGGTCCACCAACCCAAGCAAAGAATGATTCTTTTCCGGAAATTTAACGCAGTCTGTTCAAAATTAGAATGAAAACCACCCCAGATTGGCAAGTCTGTTTCTCAATCAATCAGGATATGAGACACGCGTGACGTGTCCTGCTCAATGATAAAATATACCACATGGGTGCATGACGTTGAAAACCGGAGGTAGCAAAGAGGTGTTTTTCCTTTATTTATTTATTTAATCTCCAAATACTGACAGCTGTTGATTCCGATGTGCAGAAGAATTAAGGTATTAATTTGCGATATAAGAGTTTTACTGTGCTTGCTAAGTGGATTATTTTTCAGTTACTTTGGGCTATTTTTATATGATGCACGTATTGAAATGTTAAAAAGTATTATTTACCTGAAAAATTTAAAGAACGGCTGCATTCTACCCCCTTCCTCTTTTCTCAATTCGACTCGACTACTGTTACAGGATGACTGCATGGAGCAAATTCCCCGTCTTCTGATATCAGAAATGTTCCCCCCCTTTTTTTAAACTTATTTTTACTTAAATTACTTTGCTTGCAATATCTGTTAAGAGAAAACCGTTATACGATGAAAATTTAGAAAATATTCAGATTTTTGATTTAAGTTAAATTATTTAAATATTAATATGAGAGGAAAAATAAATTGTATTTGTTTTTAGTTGTCAAGCAAATATAGTAAATATAACTTATTATTTATTTTCTCTATTTTTAACTGAAATTTCATCATTAAAGTTATCATTTAGTCCTGCATAGTTTTTTTGGGGGGGAGAGGGGGTAAGCTAGTTTTGTAAATTTAAGTGTTATTTAAAATTTTAAAAATGTTATTTTCCATAGTTGAGTAAGGCTCATTCTCTTGTAATAAATACTGAATTTCTCATTCTAAATTATAAATATAATTTTCTTTTAAGGTTATACAGTTGTGTATAATGTAATTAGACAGGTGCTTATTTTTTCCCCTTAAAATGTGCTTATAGGTGCTTGTTTTTTAACTAAAATATAGCTACTTACCCTTTATTATTGTATTGGTTATTATTATATTAAGTGATAATTTTAAAACTGCTCTTGGGTTACTTGCAGAAAGTACTGAATGCTTTAGCAGAAGAAGGTCACACAATTCTAGAAATGAGTACAGTGACTGGTGAAGGTGTGGTTGAGTTAAGAAATGAAGCATGTGATCGCCTTTTGGCCCAGCGTGTTGACGCCAAGTTAAAAGGGAAGAAAGCTAGCAGCATTTTAAACCGATTAGAAGTTATAGAACCAAAACCAAGAGATAACAAAGTAAGTAGTAATTTGTAAAATTAATGAGATAACTGATTTGTTATTACAAAAAGAATAATAATTAAATTATTTTTTTGTGTTATGAATAAAATAAATGAAAAATAATGACTTCATAAGGTTGCTATAATGTTTTTCATTTATTGGGTTGTTTGGAAAGAAACATTGTTATTTTGTGTGGAAATTATATATTGTCCATTCTGGTCCAGTACCTTTCACTGTCTTCCTGGCAGTAGCATGATTCTACACTCAAAAAATTTTTCTGTGCGAGCAAAACACTGATCCAAGTGATTTTTGACCTTCTCATTTCAAGTAAAAGTTTTACCATCAAAACAATATATATATATATATTTTTTAAAGAGACCGTAACAAATAATAATCAGAAGGTGCCAGATCTAGCTAATATGTTGGGTGGGGCAGTATATCACATTCAAGCTGTAAAAGCTTTTAGCGAGTTGCCAAATTTATATAAGGTTCTGCGTTATCTTAGTGGAACACAAACCTTTTCTGTTGATCAACATCATCCAAGCTGTAAAAGCTTTTGACAAGTTACCAAACTTACATGAGGTCTTGCATTAGCTTGTTAGAACACTAGCCTTCTCTCTCTTTAAGTGAGTCATTCAGTTTGTCCTTCAGAATTGATCATTGTGTTTTCTAGTAGATGATTATAAAACAGATTTATTTGCAATCCCACTAAACAGATAGCATCATCTCTTTTTTTTTTTTTGTGTGTGTGTGTGTGTGAATATCGACTTTGAAATTGGTTTTAGACGGTCATCTTTTTTTACTCCATGATCACTTGTGTTTAAAACGCTGTTGTAGACAATCCATTTCTTGTCATCAGTGATGATGCAGACCTTTAAGAAGCGAATCACAAACGTCAATGCGACTCCCTAAAAATTTCTTTCCGTAAGAACGCCCACCAGCGGCCGAGCGGTAAAGTCGCTGAACACTGGTAGTTCGGTCTGAGGTTCGAATCCCGCGAACGGGCTGGCTGCATGCAAAAAATGTTCTGTTAAAACGTCTTCTGTATACATCAGATAATTTTTTTCTTGCTTTAACAGCATTTTTATCTTTTCGATAGTGAAAAAGTAAAATATGCTAAAAATGTTGCTTTTTATTTTCCATATTTTAAAGGCCACCAACCAAAACTACTGCATAGAACTTTTTCACAAGCAAGTCTTGGTATATCAGCTGTCAAAATATATAATAATTAATGCACATCTTAAGTGTAAGTTTCGGTGAAAAAATGCTCTTAAGCCCTCTGTTGGAGGAAAAAAATCAAATTATTTTCCGAACAACACATTAGGTATATCTAATCTTGTACTGTAAATAAAAAGTTGGGTAACATTTACAGAATACAAATCATCCTTTTTAAAAAATTATCTCAATATAATGACAACAATAGTGTCATTGTTTTTATTACACTATAAAATTTTGAATGATTTCTTGCAAGATTTAGCTTAAAGTGGTTTTAGTTTAGCTATATTTATTAAAAGAATTAAAGTATATAAAATGTGTCATTTTATAACTATTTTCTAGGTAAAACATTTATGGTTAATATTATGAGTTTGATAGTAGTATAGCATCAGTATCATTGAAAATGTAAACATTTGCAGTAATACAGAATTGTAATTAGCACAGAAGTTTTCATTTCCTAAAAATAAATTTGTCTTAGCATACAAACATTACCATATAAATTCAATTAAGTAACACTCGGTTCTTTGCAGTCCCATGCTTTTTTTTATTACACTATTTTTTAAACCCCACAATCACTGTATTGTCTTAGTGCTGTTTGGGTCCACAAAGCTATATGAGTGATGGACAGTAAAATGTGTAAATTTTCAAGTTCAAACTCTTCACGTATATGCAAATATATTCATATATTTGCATATACGTGAAGAGAGAGATGTGATGGTTTGGAAGTTACTGATGTATGTTTAGTATTAATGCAGTGAAGATGATTTATATTAATGAATGTATATACAGGTGTTTTTCATCATGTAAAGTAATAAATCAATAAATTTCAAATGTTTCAACATGTAGCATTTATAGTAAAAATATAGTTTCTAATGTATTTATAATCGAAAAAGTATTTCATTAATAACATAAAATAATAGCATGCAAACGAATAGTCTCATTATTACATATGAATAGTCTCGTTATTACATATGCCATGCTTACTTTTTAATGTACCAGTATGTCACTGATTACGCAATAAACAATTTAAATAAGTTATTAAAGAAGTAAAGTTGTTAAATATTGTTTTAAATAAGTTATTAGTAAAAAAGTATTTCATTAATAACATAAAATAATAGCATGCAAATGAATTGTCTCATTATTACATATGAATAGTCTCGTTATTACAGATGCCATGCTTCCTTTTTAATGTACCAGTATGTCACTAATTATGCAATAAACAATTTAAATAAGTTATTAGTAAAAAAGTAAAGTTGTGCTTATGTAAATAAATTTTAAAAAATTATTCAATTTAAATTTAATCAAAAATAATTTTAAAAAATTTTATGTAAGAAAAATAATACTCATATTTCTGCATGGTAATACTTGGTTCAGTACGATTTGGAGACAAAAATTTTGTAAACAAAACAACTGTCATAAAATACTATCTACTCTGAAATTTCCAATATTAAAAATTTAACAGGATTCGTAATGGTCTTTATAAGTGCTTATTTTTTGCTTTTAGTGCATTTTTTTAAAAACAAAAGCACATTTTTTCGCTGTATCAAAGCCGAAACTAAATAAACAACTTTTCTTCCGTATATGGAACATCAGCTGGAAATATAGTACAAAGTCGTAATCCGGACTCGTCGGGACTTCTGCGATTCCTGATTAGGGATTTTTCTGAATTATAGAAGATCAGTTTAAATCTGGTAAGCTGGCATGCAGAAATTATACAATTAAGAATATGATACTGTAATTTATGAAATAAAGAGCAATTATGATCTAAGGGGAATCAAATTTTACAAAAAAAGCTTAATATTTATTTATTTACTTTATTAAACATTTCTTTCAACGAGCGCATGCGTAAAGCATATATTATGCATACTCGCAATTAGAAAACTGCAACCAGAAAACTATTTAATGTCTATTCGTGATATTTATAATGAGGAAATTGATTTAAATCATATCAAAGACGGAGTACATCGAAATATTACACTTAGTAAAGGAATTATAAGCCGAATAAAATAAAAGCACCTACCCTGAAGATGATGATAGCGCTGACAGATCAACTTCCAGTTCATAGTGCGTGCGCCACAACGTTCCCGCACCCCGGCAGCGTGAAATTGATAAACTGATTTCGGAATGGTTAGAGAAACAAATTAAGCCAAGCTGCTCTGATTACACAAGTAATATCGTGCTAAGTAGAAAAAAATGGGGTTCATTTAGACTATGTCTGGACTTAAACAACGCTTAAAACATGGTGAATCCCTTTTCCCAATATTTAATTGCTAATTGCCAAGCGTGAAATAGCCAGTCGCGGTTCTGTTGATAATTCATCAATTCTTGGTTATGTAATCAATGGAATCAGAGTAGCAACAAAATTATTTTGTATGGGTGTAAAACTATTTCTGAATTCAAAGAGAAATTAAAAATTTATGAGAAAAATTGGCATTCCAGATACAAAGAATAAGGGTTATTCAAGTCCTAACACACAAAATAAAGCATGCGTAAGAGTAAAGAACCAAGTGAAAGTGTGAAAGTATAGGGTGCGTAAATGTATGTGCATGCGTAAAGCCAAAAAAAAAAAATTATTTGCTTTGGGGTCCGGATTATAGATCATTCCGGATAATGGACATCCGGATTATGGACTTTATACTGTAATAATAATATAATTACAGTTACTGCTGAAGTGTAGATAAACTTCCAAAAATTTTTGTGTTTTAACAAAGATTAGCTTTCTAGAGAATAACATTCGAAATGGCTTAAGTAAAGGGAAAGTAATCGAATAGTCAAAATAATTTCATGATTTTCGCCAGTGCATTATACAGTATGGAAGTTAGGGGTTCTCTTTCTATGCAAAATCTCGGAATGTAGAAACCATTACATCATCCATCTGATCATGTTTATGTCTGCATTCCTTTTTCCGGCATGATTGTAGACTGCATAGCCATTTTGGTAATGAATCACTTTTGCATAACATTGTCGGATGGTCAGTTGAAGAATTCCATTCTTTAAGAAAAATTGGATGCTTTAGGCAATTGCATCATATCAATTTAAAAAAATAGTTTTTCTTAAAAAAAAGTTTTTTAAATAAAGGGTTATAGGGTTGCTGTAAACAAAATCTTTTAAGATCGTTACTGATAGGTTCAAGATAATTTAGTTTAGTTGTAACAATCCATTAAAAAGTTTTATTTATGCGATATTTTGCTAAAAGTTTAGTTTTTTTGTTACTTAAATAATTGGTCATTGTAAAGTTGCTATAAACAAACTTTTTAAGATTGTTACTAATAGGTTCAAGATAATTAACTTAGTTGTAACAATCCAAGTTTTATTTATGTGATACTTTGATAAAAGTTTAGTTTTAGCCCACTATGGTCAAATATTCTGGTATAGTAAAAAAGAACCCTTTTTATAGTTAATTATGGACCTGCTAGAAATTTTGTGAGGCCATACATTGTAGATATTTGAGAAGTTGAGCATGTTTATTTTTGTGTGAATAGTATTTTGACCTTAATCTTCGCAGCATATGATAAAGTGAATATCCTGTTTTTAACATTAAAAAAAAGGTAAATTACCCAGTATAAAACTTTCACTGATAAAACCTCAGTTGTGTGCGTATGAGCAACGTGTGAAGGGATTTCTTGAATTTTTAAGCTTATAACTTTAAGTTTTACTAGTCAGAAGAATTGTGTTTTTAGGTCAGATTGCCTTTTATTCCTGAGAAAGTGCTTCTGAAAAAGCAACAGATGGAGGTTGAAGGCAAAGAAAACAGAAAATTGGTAAGTTAAAAAGTAGTAGAAATATTTTTGAAATTCTCAGACATGTAATTGTTTCCTTGTTTCTAATGCATACTTGCAATAACTCTGGGGAATATTTTAATTATTTTCTACTTTTTACAGTATACATAGACATTAAAAGGGTGATGATTCTTTGGGTCTTGTATTTTTTTTAAGAAGAATTGCTCATACTAAATTATATGTTGATAGCATATTTATGTGTTCAAGATACATGTTTGCGTACTAAATGTATCATGACGAAGGATTTAATATAAATATCGAAGAGCCATTTCATTATGACCACCCTATTAATAACGTATAGCACCACTTTTAGCCTTCAAAACTGCCAGCATCTGACATGGCGTTCACTCCAAGTTCCTGATTATATAGTCAGGTATCTAGTACCAAGTGCTACCAACTAGTCCTGCAATTTCCACACAATACGAGGTGGTAGCTTGGAAGCACAAATATGGTTTTCCAGATGAGGCCACAAATGCTCTGTTGGATTAATGTTAGGTGAAATGGGAGGCCAAAATATCACTTGAAAGTCACTGGAATGTTCCTCGAAGTAATCCCAGTTGATTCGAGCCTTATGGCATGATACATTATCCTGTTGTTAAACACCATCCCCCAGAAATACTGTTATGAATGGGTGAACCTGGTCTACAACAGTATTCGTATAGTGCACAGACATCAGGAAATGTGTGGGGATTAAGGGTCCTAATGTGCTCCATGGAAACATTGCCCACACGATAATATCTCCACCGGCTTGTCTCCTTCCAACTGTGCATCCAAAAGCCAGGGTGTCGTTTAATAATCAGCGTATTGCCACACGCTCGTCAGTGTGATAGAACAGAAAATGTGATTCAGTGGACCGAGTAACTTTCTTCCAGTTTTCTAATGTCCAGTTCCAATGTTTCTTGGCTCATTGCAGACGTAGCTGCAATGACATGCTACCAGTGCAGGCACGTGCTTCAGGCTCCAGATGTGCAAGCTCGTATGCAGCAATGTACACTGCACTTTGTATTGTGAAACACTGTCTGGGTAGCCACTGTTGTAGCTTGGGGTGATTTCGGCTGTTGTAGGTCTCCGGGTATGGTGAAAATGCGTAGCAATCTAAACTCTCCTCTGGAATCAATGCGATGTCGACGGCACATTGCTGGCCAATGACTTGTCAATTCTGCCATCCACACACCACTTTAATTGATGTCCAAGTCACCAAGCCATAATTATTTGACTTTTATTAAAGTATGAAAAATCAGCTGCTTTTCCCGTTATGTCTCTAATCGTGTATGTTTCGAAAGACAACATATAACCTCTTTATATATCCCAACAATCGGCTGCATATGCACAGTGGGTTTGTTAGATGGAGGGCGGCCATAATGTAATGGCTTTTCGGTTGCATATACAGCTTGTTGGAGAGTTAAAAATTGATGAGATTTTGTGATACTTATTTGTGGTGTTCTGCACTAGATCTAAAGAGAGCCTCTTCTTGGAAAGTTATTTTTCCATCCTGCAGAATGTTGGAAAAATCACATAGTTCTGTCGCTGAGAATACTGAGTGTTACTAGTATTGTCTTACCAATTTGAGCATTATCTTAGATCAAAAATGGTGTTTTCTGAGCAAATCTTACAAAGTAATTTTCTCGGGTGGCTTTCTGGTAAAGTGATTTCAAAACTGGTGTTCACTGCTCACTAGCATACGATAAAATCACTGTAGCCAATAAAATTGCTTTGAGTGATCAATGGGCATCATCTCATTTTGGAATAAACAAGCATGGCTGTATTTCATTGGAGCGAAACTCAAATTTTTCAACTAATAGATTTCTATAGAGAAAATGTTATGTTGTGGGACACGAGTAATGTAAATTTAAAAAATAAAAATTAAGGGATTCTCTTATTTTGGTAAGCTTTATCTTCTCCATTACTTTATATTCAAATATTGTCTATACAGGGTGAAAATTATTACCAAGAAAAGTTCCAAAAACTATTAAAGATGCCATGTCATGGGTACGAAATGAAAATATTCAGAAACTGCTTGAAACTATGGTCGCATTTCTTTTTATTTTTCAAATAGCCTTTGGCACATGTTTTAGATCTACTGGTGAAAACTCTTTAGCAGTTTCGTACCAGCTCAAAAGAAAGCCACAAAGCACAAACTCAGTTTTGTGTTAATAGAGTTTTTGTGTAAACAAATTACAGCCCAATTTAATACAATATTGCCAAATTTTATTAATTTTTTTAGCTGATTAACTGATAGAATCATATAATGATAGTTTTCAGACTGTATTAGTTATTTAATTATCCTGATATTAGTTTTTTAATGTTCAATAATATGCTACTTAAAACTTTACATCTTTATGATATTTCTTATTTGAAATTTTTGCACTGAAGTTACACTTGCTTTGTAGTAGTAATCTTTATTCTTTTTTACTAATTTTTACTCATACTGGTTTGATTTTCATAACATTATTGTCTATTTATTCAGTAATAAAGGTTTCGATTTAAGTGCACAAATAGGAGTGCCAGAAAAATGAAATTAAAAAAAAAATGGAGTAATCTGCCCACTCCGTGTACAAAGGAAAGGACTATTTTTAAAATTTTTTGCTGTAAACTAAATTTAGCAAAAAGTGAAAATCCCACGGCATCATCCGTAAATACATTTTGCATTCCATTGTGTCTTCAATACGCAACTCCTGAAGAAAGGTATTATGTGCGCCATGAATTTTTCATCGTTTCACCCAATTTTTGGTCCAAATGCATTTTCTTTATTCCCCTTCTAGCTATAGTAGCAGTTTAAAGTAAAATAGTCATGTATTTGACTATTTGGCGACACCATAAGCTTTGTTTACAAACTGTAGAGAAGGTGATGCTCTGTAAAGGGCAGGATTACTTCCTTTCACAGTGTTTCCTGTATTAACGAGAAAATCGCTACGTGTAGACGGGTATCTCTTCTCTCTTACTACATTAGGCAAATGACTTTTCAAAATGTTTATAATTTATGCAATAGTCCCAATCAATATCTGCCAGTGGTTCACATATGTTAATGTCCATAATCACAACAGATGCCAGTGATTACATTAGAATAATTGTAGTCTGCAAGTTTGATTATTGTAAAATAATTGCAAACCTATAGATTTTTTTTAAATGCCTCGCAAAGCTATGTTTTACTGCCTGATCAGAATATTATTTTTTTTTAAATATATATATATATGCTTATTATATCAGAAGATGTATTGCATAAATAGCTAATTTTTTGGACTAATTTAATTAGAAATTTTTGTTATCCATATGCTCTTAGACTTATTTTCAGCTGTTGATTATTGACGTATACTTACACAATTATAAAAATGTTTATTATTATATTATTTTAAAATAATCAACTTTCTAAAATTTACCATATCGTAACTTTTTGTACAACCCCTTGCATTTGATCAAGTGTTTGAAATTTCAAAATAATTGTTTAATTTGTGCAAATGTAGCAAAAATTAATTTCAGTGTAAAATTCTTTATCTGCGATTATACTTTTATTATTGGACTTATTTCCATATGTTTGGGATTTATGCTTTGTTATTAATGACTTAATTTTACAGTTTAAAGTAATATTTGACAAATATTTAAGGTATCTAATTTTAAAGTTTGAGGTATTATGGTCATATGCAGACTGAAAAGTCAAACCTCAGTTTATAGTTTTACAGTTCAACAGCGGCGTAATTAGGGTTGGGCAAGAGGGAACATCTGTCCCCGTGTGCATCATCCAGAGGGTGCCAAATCGATGTTGCAAAATTTTAGTATGAAATGTTTCTCATTCTTGGCACACAGAAAAGGGTGCAAAATCTTCAGTTGACCCCGGGCTCTGAAAACCCTAGCTACGCCTCTGCAGTTAAGTAATATTTTACAAATATTTAATCTGTCTAATTTTAAAGTCATTAAATTAATTTAAAGGTATTCGGAGGTCATATGCAGACTGAAGATTCAAATCGCAGTTTAGTAAATGCTTTTTGATCTAAGTGCAAATTATTGCTGTCATGAAAGGTTTTGATCAATGCAGGTTTTTCCAAAAGGCAGATATTAATCTGAGAATTCATATTCTAGGAAACGATGGCAATGCTTATACATCCCAGTTTGTTGCTTATATATTTATTTGTTTAAATTGAAGCAGAATTTTTTTCTAATCCATAGTTTTCTATTCCATTGGGTTATGATCCAAAAATTACCAAACTGCATGTAAATGTTAGAAATATGTGTTTTTAACATTTAAAAAGTTATGAGTTATTTGTATGAAGAATGCTTTTAACAAACTAAAGGTAACAAAATATATTTGAAAATTCTGTGTACTCTTAAATCACTGAGTGACATGAAAGGGGGGAAATCAACATCAAATTATTTTAATTCATTTTTTAATTTGTCCAAGGAAAAAATTTAAAAGAATGGCAGAAATTCCCAAATTTTAAATTAAGTATATGTGAGATTATCTCTCTACTACTTGTCGTATAATAATCACACTTCTTAGGTTTTGTTTTTTGGGTCTGGGGAATAATTTTTTTACAGAAATAACTTTTTAAAATTAAAAACATGCCTCAGTATTACTCTGAGTGGCATGACTGTCTTTATAGAGTCATGAGATTTTTTGTTTTTTATATAGAGGAGTTTATAATTTAAAATATCTGAATGAATGAAAGTTTGTGAAAAGAAGAGACTAAGATTAATTTTAGCTATTAAATTGGATTTTAATATAGGTCCTCACGAGCAGATCCAAAAACCCATGCCGCTCAGAGGCTTTAAACATTTTTATGTGGAATTTTGTATTTATGACCAGTGGTTGCAAAAAGGAAAATTTAAAAAATAATAATAAATAAAAATAACCTTGCGGACTTTTATAGGTATGGCATATAAATCCTTTTTTACATGTTATATAATGAGAAAATATTGCATAGCATGTTTTTATTTAGGTATTTAGTTGTAAATGTGGTTAATATTTTCACTATATTTAAACCTGCATGAGGAATATTTTGTACTTAATAAAATACATTTTCATATTTACAGGAAAGAGAACTTGAAATGGAACTTGGTGATGATTATATACTGGATTTAAAAAGTATGCATTGTAATGTGAAATTTTTATTCTATTAAAATTTTGCTTTTCATTTCTGTTTTTTTTTATAAAGGTGAGTTATTGATTTATTTACAGAAAATTATGTTATCCCCGATGATGAGAAATATGACATTATTCCTGAACTGTGGGAAGGACACAATATCGCTGATTTTATTGATCCAGAAATTAAAGAAGTAAGTAATAAAATCTTTTCTGTTTTTAGTTTTGTGTTAAGAGCTCATAAGAAGTCTTTCTCTTAACTAACATATTTATTTTTCCATTATTTTCTTTTTATTTCACTAAATACAAGCATGGAAGATTGCAAAATTGATTCTAAATTTTGTTACATGCACCTGTATCTCTAGGCAGGAATATTTAATACAGAAATAGAAAACTGACAATTTAAACGATTCATCTCATACTCAGTGTGTACACCATATACTAGGCAGTTTTCCTCTTGGTGCCGTAACCATATATCATTTCATAGTTTTCATAGTTATTCTCAATGCACGTTGTTAAAAATAAAGATAAGATTACAATAAAGAAAATTGTTCTTAGGAGGTATATTGAAATGCTAACAAATTAGGAGATGAAGAACACTGGAAACACTGATTTTTTTTCATTGAAGCAAATAAATGTAGAAAAAGATGCTGAAGGAAGCTGGTATTAATTAGCTACATGTCTGGAAAATTTTCAAATGAAAAAGTTGCAAGAATACTTTTGCTGTGTGTTGCTGCAAAGCATGCATGTTTTGTAGCTTTTAATGTATAATTATCCTAATGTTTTAGAATGAATGTCATAAATTTTACAGTTTTTTAAATAAAAAAATTAATGGTAGTAATGTAAATTTATAATGGCTAAAGTTTATCCTTAATCCTTACTTTGGTTGCAAGATACAATACAAAATTTTAGGAATTAACATAAAATTAATGCTTATCAGATATATTAACTAGGTTACGACTCCAGTAATTAAGCAATGCTATGACACTAATTTTGTCAGGCAAAGCAGAACTAATATTCATTTCTTGCCAACCCTGCCAATATTATCAGTAACTTTTAGGAAGTAGCAATGGGAGCAGCAGCCAAGCTGCTATTACGAATCATGCTATTATGGTTTTACTTCTTATTTTAATCTATGCTACTTAACATCAAATACGCATAAACCTCCTGACTTGGCAAGTACACAGTGAAATGGGGTATAAAAGAAAGGATCAATGTAAAACTTGAATGTCTCCAATCGTCTTTAACCCTTTAATGTTCGGTGCATAAAAAAAAAAAAATTGGAAAAAATAACTTTACACATAGATAATTAGCACATACAATGTTAATCCACCTAATACTATGTTATTTAATGCAAAAAAGGGGGGCAAACCTTTATGTAATTCATGACGTGGTGGGATACTGCTTGTCCCACTGCGCATCTAGAGCAGTAAATGGCATCTTTGCCTGCACGTAAATTCTCCTAACATGCATATCTAAAGTGCTAATTTCAACAACCAAATGAAAATGCAAGATATTAAAAACGTTTTTGAATAATTATGTAGAAAATATTGATCATATTCTAAAAAAATTGCATAATTTAAAAAAATGCTCTCTGTACGACTTTTTAGATATTTTTTAATGATTTCATAATAAATTTGAAACAAAAGATTTTCACTCCAGTATTTTATTTGCTACAGGTTTGAAAAGGAAGATATTTAGAAGACCTCCATTTTATTTACATTTCACCTCTCTTTCCTCTGCTTAAGATATTTTTCTATGGTGAATCACACTCACGTATCCATTCAGTATTCAATGACATTTCATGTTACAGAGTTATATTTCTTTTGGAAAAATACTAAATGTTTTCAGGTTTAAATTTGTTGCAATTTATTGAAAAATATATATTTGCAAATTATGAACATGATACTTGAATTTAAAAAAAATATTTGACCGGTGCTGCCATCTAGTAGCAACAATTCCTACATGTGCGGTGGGGCGTGTATGTCTCGCGTTTTAATTTCAACAATTCTAAATTAATATATATGAATTGAAAGACAATTTTTATTAGAAAAGGGAACATTGGCATAAATATATTTATTCTAACACCAAAAGTTGTTGTTTTGCAGACAATTTAAATAGCATTAAAAAATTAAGGAAAAAACTGCAAAAATTTTTATTTTACATTATTTCCATAAATGAATACTAATTCTGCCATCTGTTATACATTTTGAGAGCTAAAAGGTGTAATTGTATGTATTTTAAATGGAATTTTGCAGCTTTTATCTGGGAGGTAAAACTGATTTTAAAAAAAGGTGTCGTCCCACCATCTGTCAAAGGGTTTAAATATGTAGAATAACAGTGTTCGTACGGTCTTTAAAAGTCCTTAGATTTTTTTGGAATCGATTTTTGGTCCTTAGAAGTCCTTAATTTTGGCCAAAATCAGCAGAAGGTCCTTAATTTTAATCATCTGAAATTTGTCTCTTTTTACAATTACCATTTTGAGTGGGAATTGGCTTGGAGATATTTTCGTCGATTCACGGCATATATGGTTATCTTTTGAATGGGTGTTTATGAGTTATAATTTGTTTCTATTCTAATATAATTGATGGGATACTCGAGTTTCTAAGCAAGAAGTGAGATATAAGCATTTTGAAATTCATTTTCTCTAATAAATAGTTCTTGCACAACTTTTTGCTTTTGGAGATGTGAATTCTTTTATTAAATGGTTCTAAATTTGGTGACTTATCAACATTTTGGCGTTTTAAGATAGAAATTTTTTTAATTCCGAGATCTGAGAATTTTTGGACGATTTTTTTTAAAACATCCTAACATTGATAAATTTCCATTAAAATAATGGTAATATATTGAAATTATATTTTAAAAAAAATACATTAAAATAAAACATTTTTAATTTTTGCTGCATATTATAAATTTCATTTTGGCAACTTATTATAATATTTGACTCTGAAAATAAAGAGGTATAATGCTATAAGCACAATACGAAATGGCTCTAGCAAAAGCAAAAATTAGCTGTTAATTAGTTAAAAATATCTTCTTTTTATTTTTCGTCGTAAAAGTTTTTTTCCTATGTAAATTGTCTCGGAATATTCAAAATTCTCAGAACATGTATCAGTTTTCACTATGAAATTAATTATACACTTTTCCCTCCTTTTTTTCCCAAAATATTTCTGACCTTTTGCTGTTACTGAATTGGTAGGGATAATTTTTCTTTAGTATTTTAGCCATTGCAGCTTGGAAAGTTAGCCATTGCAGCTTGGAAAGTTCTAGAAGATTTGAGAAACATGTGACAAAATGAAAAATGTCTCCATAATATCAACACATAATGGATGTATTTTATTGAAAGTTTGTGATGAATTTCTTACTTTTTGAAGAACGAAGAACAATGAAACATAAATTTGAATGTTTTACTCTGATACTAAAATAATTTTCTTAACATATTTATATTCCCTTTATTTTCTCTATTTTCACTAGACACAATGGAAGATATCAAATGCTCTAATCTTGTCAAATGGGCAATTATAGAAAGGGATTTTTTATTATAATAAAGAAATTGAAAACTTACAATTAAAGATTCATCTATATTTTTAATGTATCATACACAGAGCACACTAGGCATTTTCCCCCTGATGCATCTCCGGGAGCCTAAATTCTGCTTCCAATGCCTGCTCTGGAATTCTAAAATTTGCCATTTCTAGATTTTTGTTTGTTCCGTGTGTCGCTGAATTCTAAAATTCTGCCCAACGGCTCTGCAACCGCCTTTACCATATATATTTCTTCTGAATGTTTCATTTTACTAAGAAATAAAATTAGCCATTTCTATTCATTCAAATGCATTTCATGTTTTTTTAGAATACTGAAATATTTAATTAATCCAAAAATTCTAAAATGAAAAGAAACATGTTGAAAAAAAAAACTGAGTACAATAAAGGAATTATTCTTCAAGATATGTGCAGTTATATTATGTAAATTACCGATTTTTATGATTTCAGCCTTTACTATAATTTCTCATTTCTATGTCCTCATATGATAGAGTTAGTGAGTCAGATTAAATTAAAATTAAATTGTATAATCTTTGACCACTAGTCTACACTTTTAATTTGAATTTGACTGTTCTTGTTTAATTACGTCACCGTGAGCTGTAAATGATTTTGTTAGCATCAGAACATGCCTTTGTATTCTATGTTCTTTTTATATAAGAGATTTATTCAAACCTTTGTCTAATATTTTAGTTATTTTCAGACATAGCGATAGTTTGCTTCACAGAGGTTGGTGGTTTTCGACTAATTTAACTTTTACCAGAATAAGTAAATCCTCATAGGTACATTGTGAAGAGGTTGACAAGTTAGGAGATAAAGCAGTTAGATTAATGTAGAAACTAGCGAGAGCATTGGTTTGCATTTTGAGACAAATCTCTTAATTGTTAGAAAATATGCTTAAAGAGAAGGAAATCGATATAAACTAGCCAAAATGTTTGGGAAGGCTTCAAATTAAAATAACGGATGAATATTTTGTTGAGTGTTGTTCTTACAAAACAAATGTTTTGTAGCTTTAATGTGTGTAATTATCTTAATATCGTTTTAAGAATCAATGTTATAAATTACATGCATTTTAAACTGTGAAATTTGATTAGATTTTAATTTTAATAGGGCTTTTTTAACAAATATTGTTGAAAAATAAAATTTAATTGTGGCCATGTAAATCCATAATGACTAAGGTTATCTAATTACCTAATTTAATTAATTATAACTAACTGCTTACCCTTAAAAATTATCTCTACGTATTAAAGCGAGTTATTGCCTTTCATTAATATTCACTGTGGTCACAAGATAAAACACAACAACGTAAAAATTCAAGTAAAACCTATTCTTTGCATCTAGTGAGACTTAAAATAATGCAAAACAACTTATCACCTCTGGTGCTTTAATGGCTTATTGGAACCTTAAAGTATATTAACAGGGTTACAACCTCTGAATACACGAAGCTACGACACTTAACTGCATCAAACAGAGCCCGACTAACTTTCAACACTTGAGAACCTACATCAGGACACCTGCCTACATCAAGCCTTTTAGGTTTGTTCTAATGAGAATGTCTTTCTCTAGACAGCAGCAGCAGTAACAGCATTCAGTCTTTTGTTCTGAATCATGCTAATTATGATCTTACTTCTCGTTTTAACCTATGACGTTTGACATAAAATCTATCTGCTATTTACTCAACCTCTAGACTGACCAAGTACGTGACAAAATAAGACATTTAAAAAAATCAATAAAGCTAACTGTGAGTAAAACATAAATGTCACTTATCTTCTTTCAAATATGTCCATCCGTTGTAAGTGTAAAATATTTAATGCTACTTGATAAATTGCATAAAGTTTATTTTATTCTCAAACTTATTAATAATTATGTTAATTAATTCATGTTTAGTAATAATGCAGACTACTTAGAGATCTATTTTATTTTTAGGATGGTATCACAAAAAGTGAAATTCAGCCATAGATAATATTTTTAATTGAATTTATTCAGTTCCTATTTGCTCATAGGTCCTGAATTTTTTTTCATTAATGGTCCCTAAAAGTACTTAATTTTCGTGTGCAGAAATGTGTACGAACCCTGAATAAGTATAAAATAAAAATGTTTCAAGAAACTTCGTAACTTGATGCTAATTACTTGATAAATTTTATGAGTTTGTTTTATAATTATGCTAAATAGTAGATTGTGTGTAATATTAATGCATCCTACCTACAGATCTGTTTTATTCTTAGAATGATTTTACAAAAATGAAGTTCAGGCATAGATAATTGCTTTCATTTATTCATTTCCTTTTTGTGTTATTGGTCATTAAAAGTACTTTCTATATGCAGAAATATGTACAAACCCCTTTTGGGCAAGGGATATTTAAAAATATCTGATAATTTAGTGTAAAATACAAATTTTTCATTCATGAGAACAATTTCATTCTGTTTTGTTGCATAAGATTGTCTTATGTAAAGTGTATGTTTAAACTTTTAAAAAAAAAAGTAATCTGCATTTGTGCTGCTGTTTGTGTTCAACTTGTGAAATGATGCAAAATTCTGTAATACTGATGTTTTCACTCATGCAATAAAGAGATATAGGTATTTTTTTAAGGCGATATGTGTCTGTTTTTTACGATTTCTGCAAATATTAATTTATTTTTTGACAAGATGTGTTACAAATGTTACTTTCCTATATAAAAATGAACAGCGGACAAGTAATTTTTACTGCTAATTGATTTCTGTTGAGTTCATTATATAATGAAATAAAAATACCTTAAATGATTATTTTTTATATAAAATCAAATGCAAGAAATTAAGTTTCAGAAAAGAAGCATTGCAAGGAAAACTCAACAATTAAATATAACCATTTTTCGTAATTAACACTTTTTCTCAAACCATTTTAAGAAAATTAAAATGGGTTTTTAATCTTTATTGAATAATACAGGAAGAATTACTGATTTATTGAAATTTCAAATACTAACAATTACTACTACAATTATATTACTTTATACGTGTCTGATTATTAAAAAAACTGGGTAAAATTGCATTATATTTTCAATTTTAGAAATTAGATAGATTGGAAAGAGAAGAGGCAAAAAGAGAGGAAGCAGGTTTCTATGATGAATCAGAAAGTGAGGATGATGAAGAGATGAAAAATATTCGTGCCTTGGCAAAAAAGTAAGAAAGCTTTGATTAAAATTAAAATTAATTTGCTTTACTGCACAGTCTATATATTTTGTCATTACAATTCTATGTAACTTTCGTAGAATTCGAGAAAAGAAGGGAATTTTGAAAATTGAATCTCAGTTGAAGAAAAGTGTCACAAAACCAAAACTTCCCAGAACAGCTAAAACGGTAAATCTATATTCTGTCTTAGCACAGTTGATTATCTTTGAATTTGTGGTCTTAGCACAATTGACTATCTTTGAATTTGTGGTGACAACCGGTTATGTATTTATTGTATAGATATTATGTACACAATTAAGGAAATAGCTATCTAAAGCTAATTTGAAACTATGCAGAGACAGGTAACTTATCCAAATTAAATATTTTCCTGTAGATTGGTTTCAGATCTTTATAGTGGTTTATTATTGATGAATTTCAAGTTATGTAAATGTTTATACTTTTTCAGACGTATAGTAATTATTTTTTTAACATGATTTAGAAAAAATGCTCCATTCTTTTTATATGATCTGTTTTTATTGAAAATGATTTAAAATGAGTATTTTTTAACCCTTTCAATACAGACTTCCCATATACATATTCCCTACGAACATCTTTCACAACTAGGTGTCCTCATGCATCACTGGAGAATAAACACAAGGAATGGGTGATGGTTGTTTTAAAGAACTCTAGGTGGCATCCTGTGTACATACTTTTTGAACAGAATATAGTTTTAGCATCCTGACCTTCAGTTTGATCATATTCTGCGTAATGTTGGTGTTATGTAAACAAATAAAACTCAGTTGCATTTCTTTTGGGGTTACTCTATGGAGTTGTATTACACTTTGCATTGCTTATACTTCATGCACTTAACTTTTTATTTCGGAGAGCCTTCGCTACAGCTAATTATGACAAGGGTTATATATCAGAGATAAGGAATACTCAGACATGCTAAATGAGCCAAATAGTGATGTGGATGAGAGTGATGATTTATTAATAGAGAGCGATGTTTTTAGTGATTCTCATACAGAGCTTACTGAGTGTCAGCCTTTTAACTTTCCATGAAAGATATGAAAAGTTCTTCAAAAAATTATTTCTCAAAGTAAGCAATCTGTTTTATATATTTTCATGTAAAGAGATTATTAAATGCTTATTTTAGCATATATGATAGCTAAAGTAAAAATCTAAAATAGGTCCGAAAATTATGACGGAATTATTTATTTATTGTAAGTTAAAGTTAAGAAACTGAGAACCCCAGTTCTATGGAATCTCGTTAGACTCCGATTTGTCCCGATGGAATGTCTTAAACAAAGGCACACCACCTCGAAAGGATTTTAATTTGATTTAATTCGAATATATAATATTAAAAGTATTCATATTCTTGAGGGAAGACTATAGAATCTTATGTATGATGTTGATGTAACATTTTAACACTATAGTATCACAACACTAGTAATAGATATTGGTAAAATATATCAAGATTTACCACAGATAGCCAACTCTATGTGTAATACAATTATTCATATATCAGAAAAAGGTTTAATTAATAAATCCTGCATAGGATGACAGTTGATATTAATCCTTAACCGGAAATGTGAAATAGATACATGTTGTGAGATTTAATTTTAAAATTTACCACAAACTGAATGTGAACATTTGTTCTTGCTTACTAATGCATTAATGAGACCAAATTATAATATGACATAAGAAAAATGGTTTTTAAAATCTAAGACTGGAAAAAGTTTGAAAATTATGCATAATTTAAAAATACAAAACTTGTACATGGACAAACTTTAATATTTGATTGATTATGAATTGAAGTTGTGGAGAAGAATTTGCATAAGATTTTAATAGGAGAAATTGCATCATGTCTCAGATTTCTGCATTTTGTTTGGAATTGTAACATTTTAGTTTAGAACATTGCAGACCAGCAGGCTTCCTACATGGTACAGATAGGAATTTTGTTATCCTAAGGGATATTTTGTAATAAAGGAATATGTTTTAGGAGCAAATACATGTAGTGTATTTTGAAGAATTCAAGCTATCACAAAGAGATATTCATGTGGTAAAATTCAGCAGTCGTTTTTCTATATGTTACTAGATTAGTAAAGAAGTTTGTGATTTTGCAAAACTGGATTTTTCCTCATTTTCTTTGTAGCATATATATTTTACTGCTAAAACATCCAGAGTGAAGAAAAAATATCAAAGGCCACCAGTGTGCTGCAACTTATTGAAGGTTTTAAAAATTTCTTATCAAAATTATTAACTTTTGTGGGTACTAATTTGCCGCAATTTCAGATTTCTACATTTCAATGTATAAGCAGACTCTTATGCATCCAAGAGGTGAGTATTCCTCCTTCTTGACAAGTGAAATTATTCTACACTTAGTTAGTAAACTCAGTAATTACCTGTGAAATTACATTAACTGGATCCATTAAACTAGCTTATAGGGCAATAAAAACATGCTTCCATAAATCTTTGTGAAACAAACATTTAAACATTCACTTTGTTATACACCTATTTTAATGAGACATCCTTACAAGAATCATACTAAATTACTTCAGTCTACTTTCGCACATATTTCACTAAGTTGCATATGGGTTCGTTTTTTATTTGTAAGGAATAAAGCCGTATCATTTTAATATTTTAAAAAGTAGCATAAGTTAGTGCTTGCAGTGATATCTGGTATCGTATGCATAAGTAATAGATTCTTTTAATTTATCCCATAGTAGGAATCTGTTTGCTTTGTCATGTCTGTTAGTGTAAATGCTTTGATAAGGTGCATTTTATATTTTTGGCCATTGCCTATAAGGTTATATTTAAAAGAGGTCCAAATGTAACTAGATAGCTCTGCAAGTGTACTTGCTCTATATAAATTTATAGGGGGCACGGAAAACACTTTACAAGAATGGCACTGAGCTGAAAGAGCAGAGCAAACTAATGTGTCTTTGTTCTTCTGACGAAATCGACACATTAGTTTACCCAGAGGTAATAAGATATATATTAATATGATAACTGTTGCAGATCTCTGTTCAGGGAGATTTTTATGTAATGTTAAAATAATTTGTTTTGGGTAATTTTATTTGGTTTCATTTGCAGTCATGTGTTTCTTAAATTATCAGTTTTAAAATTGAATACTGTTTAATATGGAAAATTTGTTCACAAATAAATTTACCTGCTCTGCTCTAGTTTGTCAGTTTATAGCCTTATGTACTAGTTTTGTTATATTTTTATTTTCATATTTAACCTTTTCCCTGTGGCTGAGATATGTTCTACACATTCATCACCTTAATGCTCAAAATTCTGAAAATTTAAAATGTGCAATATATAAAAAAAATGTGAAAAGTTTCATTAAAATAAATCTGATTTATTTATTATCTGACATATAAATTGCTTTTCTATTGCAGAGAACAAGAAGTGTCAGTCGATTACGCAGTGAAATGAGAAACCTTGGTGTTGAATTGGGTGATGATAAGGTAAGCAGTGCTCATATAAACTGAATGTTGTAAATATATATACTTCTGTATGAAGAGTATAAATATTTCTTGATTCTGTGGTAAGTTGGCAAAAGACAAAAACATAGATTTCTGAATTTGTGTTTTTTAAAAATTTGTTTAATATACGTGATACGCGAATACATATGTTCAGGGAAATAAAATAGAGTCTCTTTCTAAAATTTGGCAAAAAAGCAATGTTAGATGGGCATACATTTTGATTAAAACTATCAATTTCAAGGGTGATGATACACGAGTGTTTTCATCTGGTATAAGAATTATTTGCTGGAATGTGTGTCTGATTGCCTTCAAAATTGATAGATTTGTTCCAAATCGTGTTATGCTTTTGTAAATGTATAGAGGTTTCGGTAAATATCCAAATGATGGCAAAGTGTAGTGAAACTATTATTATCATCCTTCTTGAATATAAATATGAATGCAACTCTTACCGTCTATTGATTTCAGTGAGATTTTAAAGAATCATTAGTAATTAGCTACTATTGGATACATTACAATTTGTTCAGTGAGTTCCTCATGAAAGAAAGTTTAAAACAAATGGTTTCATTTGTCTGCCTCTGAAAAGGTGGGCTGCCATGTTTATGCAGAGAAAAACCTGACTTGAAGGTAACACGGATAAAACAATTGCTGATTTGACCAGAAACATGTGTAAAAGTTTAGTAATATCCTATAGACAGTTTGATAAATTGGTAGTACATGGCAGTTTCTCAGATTGCAATAGACTTCAACAACAGCTTAGCAGAAGAATGATCTTGCATGAAATTGATTTTGGTCTGTGTATTATCGGTTGTTTATGACAAAGCTAAGAGGGCTTATGTGCTCACGAAAGCAGCCCATTATGTGCATTATGGGTTGCTTTCGTGAGGCTTTCTAACATAACTTGGCTGTTATCTTCATTACACATGGGGGGGGGAAATCATGCAGTTTGCTTGGGTTTTAACTTGATTCTAGCTACTAGTATTCAGCAATCATAACTACCTGACCACTGTGGGGGCCAGTCTTGCATGAAAAGCACTAAAGCGTAAGTATGTGTTGGAGGAATGGCTTCCGACTTATGCTTACTGCCTTTATACACTGAAATTGAAACAAGGTGGTTTTTTTCCCCCCCCCCTTAATGCAAGTCAAGATAATTTCCATTCGCAGCTAATGATAGTGGAGATTTAGATTCGTTGTGATGACCTGAAATGAAAATGTGGTGTGCAAGTGCTGTAAGGTGCCTCAGAACACAAAAGTCTGCCGAGAAGAGTGGCTGCCATTTTTGGGAAGATAAAAAGAGGAAAATATGTATTTACTGTGTACTCAGAGATGTTCACTATGAAAAATAGCTATGGCAGATTTAATAGAAAATTGCTGCTTTTTTGTGATAATCTTTCTAAATAAAGGTTTCATGTTCCTCAGGCTGCTATTCATCAAATAGATTTCAGCTTCTGCCATTAATGTTGATCAAACTTTAAACTTTTTTCTTTTTTCCCCTTTAAAAAACTCTTAATAGCACTTTTATGGATTGTAATAAAGTATGATGATTTAAAACATGATAGAAAATTTTACAGGGCTGTTAAATTTTTTTTTTTAATGCTGTATTTCCATATTTAACTGATCAAAATACATTGAAATTATGGGAAACTACATGGAAAAGTTTGTTTGGCTTTCATTTTATACAAGAATATTAGGCTGAAAGCTTAGTGATTGGCTGCTTCTATTATAGAAAGTGAATTTCATTGATCAATTTAAGCAACCATAAAGTCCTTGTCTTCAAATATTGTATTAACCCATATCATACCAAGCATTGAAATAATTAATGCATTTTTATAAATTCTTAAATGTGTTTCTTTTTAAGTCTATGTATGCATATAAAGTAAAAAAAAAAATCTCCATAAAAGTAAGTTCTTTAAAAAATTTTATTAGTTTAATTAATACAGCCTGTTCTAAAGATAGGACAATTATATAATCCACTGCTAATCATTCTTACTTAGGTGGAATGCGAGAAACCATAGTACGTTAAATTTTTTAGATAGTTGTTAGCTTTGCTATGCAAGGTTTTAGCTGGCATCTTTGTTTATTTTATGGAGTTTTCGCAATACTGTGTTCATTTTGAAGCTTTAGAAAATCTTCATTAACCTTTTGAACATCCAGTTTTTTACCAGTATATGTTAAAAATATAAGCAAAAAGTCTGCAAAAGTCCCTATTTAACTTGTGATGAAGACAAATATATAGTTAAATGAATCTTAAATAATAAATTGTCTTTAATTTGAATTAATTCATTTGAAAGGTTTTATACAAAGACCATTTATGTGTACTGTCCAATTTTTAAGACGATGATTAAATATGGGTTAAGCTCTAAGCTAAGTAACTATAGCAAATTTTTACAAGAAGTTCGCAAAATATGCACATATAACTTTGCTATTTGCATCATAGAGAGCTGTAAGTAATAGATCTGACAAATTGCTGGCTAGAGAAATAAAACTAAGCAGTTGATTAGATGATTAGTGAACCATAGAAAAATAAAGTAGATTACCACCAGCTTAAAACACTAGCATTTAACATCAATGGAATTAGCAAAATAAAATCATAAATTTCACAAGTTTTATAAAGGTGATACACGAAAATGAATAGAACCCATATTGCCAAACAAATTTAGGAGATTCAACCCTTTATAATTAAATTCCCAAGTTTGTGATTGGTTGATATTTTGTGGTAGCTAATATACTGCAAAAGCACAATTAAAGTTTGTTTGAATTATGTAAATTTAATGAGAAATTTTCTTTTTCTACTTACAGGCTCACTTTGATGATGCTGCAGTTGGTCGCACAGTTAGACCTGTGAAACGGAAGAGAGAAGACAGTGAAGGTCGTGTGCGTAGCAGCTCTAGAACACCAAGAGATGAATCAGGCATTAGAGATGTTAAGGTACATATAGCATTTAGTGTTAATTATCAGAAAAATTTTGCAAATTATCAGAAAAATTTTGTCATTGAAATCTGTTCATGATTTATAATTTTTTGAAATTTGCATTACAATTTATATTTTTAAATATGAAAATATTACTTTAGCATATGAGTTCGTGTACTGTGAAGATAAATTATTAAAAATATGGTGTTAAAAATTCTTCTAACAGACCCAAGAAGGGGGAAAATCTACTGTAAAATTTTTATTTAACCCTTCAAGTAAATTCATGCAATTTTAAAAGTCTGCAACAAAAGTCGTTTCACACAGTTATGTGGTGCTGAATGGCAGAACATTTAATGTGACTTCAGAAATTTCTGAAAATTGAGTTCTAGCTCCAATCCAGAATTAAGTCAAAGATTTTTCAAGGAACTCAAATTTTAAGATTGTCTCTTGATAGTTCAACAAATTGTTTTTTAGGCTTTACATGGCAGATAATTAATCTCATTAATATTAATTAAAAGTGCTTTTTGTATCCAAGATAACCTTTTGAAATCAAAATTCAGTATGAAATATTCACAAAATTGTTTTAGAATTTCAAGTTATTTATTATAATTTAATCTTTTTACTTCTTTCTGCTATAAAATTGTTGAAAATTGAAAGCATTTCAAAATGAATTAGATTCAAAACGTTTTATAAGATGGGTATTTTTCACTAACATAAATTTAAAAAGAAATAAAAAAAATTTAATTTCATAAATTTCTGATAATGTTGCCTTTATTTGTTGTTCAAAATATTTTGGCTTTGATAAACGAAGGAAGCTTCAACTCGATAAATTTTAAAGGAAGACAATCTTCCAACTCTCGTAATGCAGTGTTTATGAGCAGCAATAAAAGCAGGTTTTTCGGAATGTTGAGGCTTATCTGATATTTTGACATTTCCAGTTAGATTTTTTTAATTGCATCTTGAATCTAGGGTTGACTATGATAAAGTAGCTACACATCGTGATTAATTTAAAAATCAACATAGCTATGACCTTAGCTGCAGCTGAAATGTAAGCATCACATTGTGAATGTTGCTAGGATTAATCAAATCCACTAAAATCTGATGAATTTGCTTTTATGTGATAACTTTCTCAAGTTTTAGAAGTTTTAATTGAACAGTTAACGTGTTTCTCATATATGTTTTATTGGGTCTTTAATTTTAATCAATAAGTATATCAATAATATATTTATATATATGCACACAACTAAATTATATTAATTTTTATTTTATACTTAGATGAGGAAAAAAGCAAGGAAACTGGCGAAATTAGCTCAGCGTCCTGGAAACCTAAAAGCCAGAAAAGGTGAAGCTGACAGAAAAATCTTGAACTTACGCCCAAAACATTTGTTTGTTGGTAAACGAACTCTTGGAAAAACATCACGGCGGTGAAGTGAATTGTTCAAAATATGAATGCATAGATTTGGTTGTACAGAATATAAATTTTAATAAATCAGTTATATTCATTATGATCATTAGTATTTCCCCATTATTGTGTGTTTGTGTGCATACTTAATGGCACCAAAATCTTTTAAATTCAACAATCTGTTTCACACAGTTGGATACGGTGCAGTTCAAATAATTTTCTTAAAAAAAGCTTAGGTAAGTATTTATAAATTCCTCTTCTTGTAATTAAGACACAATAACACGCCGAATAAATACTAATTCAGAAGTCAAACAACAAAAATCAGCGTTAATTTACAAAATTTTCACAGGACTAGTTTCGATGGTTTTACCGAACCATCATCTTCAGCTGCAAAAAACCGCAAATGAAACAAGATAGGAAATAATGTTTAGATAAGATAAAAAAGCCTGGACAAGAATAAGCAAGTGGCGCCATCTGTTGGCGAAACCAGAACTAAAACATTTCTCTAAAAGCCGAAGGCAAATTTGGATTGGAATTAGGATCGTTAACTAGAACAGAAAGATTTTTATGAATGTGAAATGCCTCTAGAAAATCCAGTTCTCCAATGGAAGATGTTTTTTGAATAATTTGGCAGCAGAAAAATTGAAAGTGTGATTTTCGGACCAACAATGTTGAGCAACAGAAGACTTCTGTGTTTCCTTTTTTTCTAACATATGCCTCATGTTCTTTGACGCGAAATTTTAAGGCTCTCTTAGTTTGGCCAATGTAAATTAAACCGCACTGGCAAGGAATCCTATAAATACCCCAGGAATTCATATCCGGAATGGGGTCCTTGAGTATAGAAGTTGGAATTTTATTGATGGGAGAGTAAACAACCCGAAAGTTAAATTTCTGCAAAATATGTGCAACTTTATAGCTAATTGATGGAAAGAAGGGAATGACAACAGAATTTTTATAATCTCCTAAAATAAGAGTGTGGCTTTTAGTGTGTTGAGATGAGAATTTTTTAACTGCTTGATTAATAATGTTGGGTGAAAAGCCCATTGTTAATATTTCTAATGTTAGTCTTTCAGAAGAACAAGAGAGAATTCTAAAATATAATTTTAACTTCTCACAAACCTGTAAACCCTCGATTCCAAAGATTTTGGGCTCCTATCGAAAAAGCTTTCAAGTTCAGTAAAGTTTCAGATTCACAGAAAGAAATGATTAGGCATCTTGTCGCTCATAATGTGAAATTCAATAATAAACCTTTGAAAACCAAATCTAACTGCGAGAGAAAGAGCTACAATGCGCGAGATTCATTCTAACCCGGATATTGTCATTTCAAAGGCCGACAAAGGTGGCCAGATAGTCGTCATGGATAAGAAACACTTACATCGATGGTGTCACTAAACTCTTAAACGAAGGACCATATAATCCGATCCCTAAAGATCCTTCACCTTCGGACTTATCCAAAATAAAAACTGCGATCAAATCTTCGCAAATCATTTCAAGCAACTTAAAACATTCGCTTATCCCATCTGTTGCGAATTGTGCCAGATTATATGCTCTTCCCAAAATTCATAAATGTGGTATTCCTTTCCGCCCTATTGTATCAAATTTAGGTACTGCGTCGTATCCATTAGCTAAATATTTAGTTTCTAGATTTTCCACTCTATTAGACAATAACATTTACACCATAAAAAATTCAATAGAGTTTGTAAAAAAAGGTTAAAAACATTTCTCCTCGTAATTTACTCATGGTTTCTTTTGATGTTAAAATCATTATTCACCAATGTCCCAGTGGAGGGTGCATTAAGATGTCTAGAAACCCAGACTTCGCGAATTTCATTTCTCTTGCATCGAAATCGATGAGCTAATTTCTCTCACTCAACTCTGTTTGAAACAACACACATTTTGTTTTCCAAAATAAATATTACAAGCAAACTGAGGGGATTAGCCATGGGAAGCCCCCCTCAGTCCCATCCTGGCTGATATCTACATGCATTATTATGAATCAAAATTGTTTGAAACTTTAAACTTCCCGGCATGGTTCCGCTACGTAGACGATACTTTTACCCTGTTTGAAGGTAATAAAGATGATTTAAATAGAGTTCTTTCAACAATGAATTCTATTGATCCTGCTATTCAGTTCACTTTTGAACTTGAGACTTGCAATTCTCTTCCGTTTCTCGACATTCTGGTCACACGTAACACATCCAACTTCAGTACTACAGTTTACCGTAAACCTTCATCAGTTTGCCTTCCACCACACTTTAAATCATGTCATCCGACTAAACAAAAGTTAGCTTCATTTTATTCCTATGTTTTCCGTGCTCTTCAAGTTTGCTCCTCCAAAAAAGCCCTTGATGAAGAACTAAATTATTTAAAAGCAATAGCTATTGACAGGGGCTTTTCACCCAACATTATTAATCAAGCAGTTAAAAAATTCTCATCTCAACACACTAAAAGCCACACTCTTATTTAGGAGATTATAAAAATTCTGTTGTCATTCCCTTCTTTCCAATCAATTAGCTATAAAAGTTGCACATATTTTGCAGAGAAATTTAACTTTCGGGTTGTTTACTCTCCCATCAATAAAATTCCAACTTCTATATCAAGGGACCCCATTCCGGATATGAATTCCTGGGGTATTTATAGGATTCCTTGCCAGTGCGGTTGGTTTAATTTTAATTACATTGGCCAAACTAAGAGAGCCTTAAAATTTCGCGTCAAAGAACATGAGGCATATGTTAGAAAAAAGGAAACACAGAAGTCTTCTGTTGCTCAACATTGTTGGTCCGAAAAATCACACTTTCAATTTTTCTGCTGCCAAAATTATTCAAAAAAAACATCTTCCATTGGAGAACTGGATTTTCTAGAGGCGGTTCACATTCATAAAAATCTTTCTGTTCTAGTTAACGATCCTAATTCCAATCCAAATTGCCTTCGGCTTTTTTTTAGAGAAATTATGTTTTAGTTCTGGTTTCGCCAACAGATGGCGCCACTTGCTTATTCTTGTCCAGGCTTTTTTATCTTATCTAAACATATTTCCTATCTTGTTCATTTGCGGTTTGCAGCTGTGAAGATGATGGTTCGGTAAAAAAACCATCGAAACTAGTCCTGTGAAAATTTTGTAAATTAACGCTGATTTTTGTTGTTTGACTTCTGAATTAGTCCTCTTCTTGTGTTTATTATCCTACGTGCTCAAGATTGATACTGCGTAATAATAAATAGTCATCTGTACTGCTCTAATGTATTTTAGTAAGATAATGAATAAAGTTTTCTGTCTTTAATATTAAATATATCTATTAGAATTTTTATGAAATTTTAACAGGCTACATAATTTATACAATAAAATTGTCTATTTTGAGTAATCTAAGGTGATAAGGATTTGTAAGGTATTTCTATTGAAAGAAATTTTTCTGAACATCTACAACTAATTTGTAGGTTATTAATAAAAATTTGTCTATACTTGATTTACAAATTACTTTTGATATTAAAATTTGATAAAACCCTGTTGGCTTTTAAATTTGTTTTCATGAAGAAACAGAATGGTGTTTTTAATAACATTCAAAGTATTTGACATTTCTTTCATATTTCCATCTGAAATTTTTACCTCCCCTCCAAAAAAAATAAGTGTGTACTCTTCATATATACATCTATAATACTTTATGAAAATAAATTCTTTAAAACAATATATACTCTTTTGTGTTTAACAAAGTACCTGACTGCAATATGGATTTGAGTCTGGGGTATATGTATTCAGATTTTACAAATATGCTAAGACAGTAAAATTTATAAATGGGGAGAAACTGAAATAGATGTAGGCAATATATTCTGAAGTACCGAATAGAAATAATTTTTTGAATGCAGCAAATATTGTTAATTCATTAGGAATTGTGCAGGATAAAATGAGCATACCAAATAATTTGGTTTATTTCCAGTTCATAATTACAATTTTACATTATGATCGTTTCTTCAATTTCCTTTCTATATATTTCTTATTTTTTCCCCTTTCTGTTATCCCTGGTCATTTTATCATTTCTTATGATGTCCAACAAGCATTAAAATTATTTCTAATTTGTCTGGCATTTAATCAGATTTTCAGCATGTTTTGTCTTTAACCGCCGTGGAAAACATACAAGATTCACTTCCCAGTGCCACAGTTTTTACACACAGCCGCATGATGTATTAGAGGAGAAATAAGCAGTTAGGCGATTGCATAATAACATGCGGTGTATTGGGGGGGGGAATAAGTTCATGTTTTTCTGTCTAAAAACCTCTTTACTTTCACAAAATAAAGAATAAAAGAAAAAAATGAAAATATGAAATTTAATGTTTAGAGTAAAAATATAACAAAAAGATGTAAGTATAATAAAAATGATGTTTGTATAATAAAAAAAATCCCCAAAAATGCAGTTTCGATCAATTTCTTTTTAGACCAGTAAAGTGTAATACTGTCAAAAGTCGTTAATCCGGACTCTTCGGGACTTCGGCAATTCCGGATTATAGATCATCAGTTTAAATCTGGTAAGATGGCATGCAGAAATTATTAAATTAAGAATATGAAACCGTAATTTAGGAAATACAGAACAATTATGATCTAAAGGGTATCAATATTTACAAAAAAAAGCTTAATCAGGGTTCGTAGTGGTCCTTATAAGTCCTTATATTTGAAAATAAAATATAAAGCCCTTATAGGTGCTTACTTTTTCTTTAAAGCCCTTATTTTTTTGTTTTTAGTGCTTATTTTTTGCTTTTAGTGCTTTTTTTTAATGAACGCGCTATTTTTCCCTGTACCAAAGCCGAAACTAAATAAACAACTTTTCTTCCTAATATGGAATGTCAGATGGTGAGTCATACTCCCGAAAATAGCTTTTCCCCCTTTCTCTGCATTAACATAACCTTTGGTGCGGGCACGAAGAGTACAGACATGTGGTGCCCGTCGTTCTATTGGTCAAAGAATTGCGAAAGCAGTAGAAAATTCCGTACATTCGGCATTCTTTTCCTCCCACCCCAAATACTACACACGTTTGAATTTTCTATCAAGATCTTAATAATTTGCATTCTCGTTCCGCTTGGTCAGTTCATATTCGTGTTTATTATGATCGTTATGCTTATATTATG